GGGAAGCAAGGGAAGAAAGAGCACGGCCAGCAGGCTGATCGCCGCATCACATGTCATGAGGAGGCGAGGTTTGCAGTGCCATTTGCAGTGCAAGGCAAGGCAAGGCAAGGCAAGGCGAGGCAAGGAAGGCAAGGCAAGGCAAGAAAGGCAAGCTGGCAAGGCAATATGATGCTGGAAGAAACAGACCACAGGCGTTGGGTGAAACGAGTCGGCTGCAGGATACAGCAGCCAGCAATACGAAGCAAAAAACCAAGATCCCTACAAGGCGGTGGTGTTTGATGATACCCACGCGGCAGTGATGTTGAAGCGTCGGCAGGACGGAGGAATAGGTAAGTACCCAGGTCACGGAGGAGGGGGAAACGAGCCGGACGGCCTGCGGACGGATTAATTGCGACGAGATGAGAGGTGGTCCCGGCCTCTCGCGTTGGCCTGAAGCGGGAGGCTCGTTCGTGATGTGCATCACCCCCGGCGGTTGTCTCACCAACATTGCGACCCTGGGAACGCACATGGGCGCAGAGCCGCGCTCGAACGATGTAGGGTGTTTGAAGGTGGTCAGGCAGGGTTCCGATGGCGGGAGGCAGATGCAGTGATGGATCGGAGCAGAGAGGGTACCTGAGGTGCGTGCCCCGGGGGGGTGTGAGGTCAGAGACGGAGAAATTCGCCATTGGCTGAGGCGTGGGAAAGTGGCCCGATGAGGAGGTGCCGAACGAAGGCTATCGCGATTGGGTTCTGGAAGGGCTCTGGTGCCTCGGGGTGCCAGGTGGGTACCTAGGTGCCTGAGGTTGGTGGGTGCTGCGAAACAGGTGTGCAAGGTACTTAGTACTGGGCTGTGCCTCTGTAGCGTCTCCCCCCCCGCCCTGATGTGATGGGTAGAAGAGAGGGAGACCTCGACGTGGGGTAACACGGCACCTTACTTCTAGATGGTGCTCCTTGTAGATGGTACTCAACCCCCCCTGATCCACCCCCCACGATTTAGCCTGAGGGGGATTGCCCACTGCCATGGGCACTCTCGCACAGCACCCAAGTCGGGGGGGGGGGGGGGGGGTTCGAAAGGATCCATGATTTCTTGTCACGACATGCATCCTCGCAGCAAAGGAAGACACTGAAGACAAACATCAAGATTGCTAAGCAGAGGATGCGAGACGTAATGATTAGATACTCCCAAGTTGTTCTCCGTGCCTCTGCTTTGAAATGCTACCGCGAGAAAGAGGGGGGCACTGAGGGGCCCAGGAGCGGGTACACGGAGGGGCACAAGGCCATGATGCTCCCATCTACCTACGGTGTCTATCCAGCCGACGCGTATATCCAGCCGTCCATTCAGCGAGGCAGGCAAGCCATCGGATGGGAGGGATCAGATGTTCGCCGTAGAGAGAGCTCCGAGGATCCCCCCCCCCTCCCCCTGGACCCCTCGAAGGTGACGGGCGGGATCTGGAAGCTTAGCTGGAGGCCACGCCGCGTTAGTCTAGCCTGGGCTGATACCTACCCGGCACAAGGACCAGGACCAGGACGAGGATGAAGGATGGAGGACGATGGATCCATCGTACTTCTGGCCGCACCCCTACGCCTACGCTTGCCGCCTGCGCCTGTGCCTACGGACGTCGCACAAAACATGGTGCGCGCCGCCGCCCCTCCGGTCCGTCCGACTGGGGGTAATGTCGTGCCTCACCTTCCATCCCCAAACGGAGGACGAGGGGGGGGGGTTTGACTGACGGACTGCGAAGTACTTAACCCCCCCACCCCCAGCTTCCTGCCCCTCACAGCCTACTACCACTCCCAATTGACCACGGTAGACACACACCTCACATTTCCTTCCCACGCACAGCAAGCAAGATCATCAAGAGCTCCGACGGCGAGGCACATAGTTCCGCCTCTGCCCTCTTCGTCCCCTCGTCCCTCCGTGGCATGAAGCTAGCGCTCCGCCGCATCCCCCATCGCATCCCGACGCTTTCCGCGCACCACCGCCACCACCACCACCAGCAGAACCACCACACTTCGGCTACGCACCGCACGAACCCGACCGCTCCTCCTCCGACCCGTCTCTCCGTCCAGAGTCGAACCCCAGGCACGCGGACGCACAGCCAGCCGCTCGCCGCACGCTCCTGTTTCTCGACATCGACGACACGGCATACCAGCCCGCAACAGACCGTCACCATGGCGAACCGCGTCCACCGCGTCACCATGTTCAAGCTGCCGAACAAGGACCACCAGGAGAAGCTCCTCGCCGCCTACAGGACACTGTCCGCCGAGCAGAAGAAGGTGCGCTTTGCTGCCCCCCCCCCCTTGCCGTTTGCTGTCCCGTCATGGTGCTTCGCCTGCTGTCGATGGGTGGCAGAGAGGCGGTCCAGGCCGCCTCAAATGATGTGTCCCGGTGGAGGGCTATACCCGGAAAAGAAAAAAGAAAAAAAAAGAAGCAGGAAAGAAGAGCTTGATCAGCCCAGAGACTGTCTGGAGCGAGCAAACAGGAGAAGCAACGCTGACGACACCCCCCCCTCCCCGCAGGACGGCGCCCCCTACATCCTCTCCCTCGTCGTCGGCCCCGCGCTCGCCGACCCTCGCTCCAGGGCTACACCATTGTGGCCAAGACGGAGTTGCGAGCCTCGCCGACATGCGCTGGTACGACGACGAGTTGCCCCGCGCACGCCAAGCTCAAGGCCCTCGTGCCCGAGTTTGGCCTCAACCCGCCCGAGGACATCATGTCCATCTACTTTGAGCCGGGGCACGTGGCCGTCTTGTAGGCGTGAAGATGTCGTGCTGTCTGATAAGGGGCGGCATGGGAGGAGCAATTCGGAGGTGGTCAATGGGAAGCGGGGGTGAGAAGCGGATGGATGCGACATGACGCATGGCACATGGGCAAAACACCGTAGAGGCCCATCGGGGGCCCGTTGGAAAACATGTGAATGGAACGTATGAGCGAGGCTATGTATGCGCAACATCACTGCTGAAAGAAAATCCCCGTCGTTTCGTCGGCCTACATGGAGAGGCATTCATGCACCCGTCAGCGACGCCTGCCGGATCACCCCTTTTGGCCCAAATGTGTGTCTCTCCCTCGTGGCATACATTCCGTGATTTGCCATGTTCTCCTGCAGCCCCCCCGCCCCTTTCCCCCTTCTGACCACACATCAGCCACGTGGTCGAGGCCAAGGCTGGCCCCTCACTCGGCCGCGAACAGGCTCATGTAAATTCCCCAGCCCACGCCCGCCAGCCCGCCAACAAGGTTCCGCATGGGCACCGTCTTGACAAAGGCAAAGTTGACGAGGCTGACGGCGGGCCAGAGGCGCCACCCGGCCGTGATGATGGGCACAAACTCGCGGCGGACCTGCGCGAGGACGGCGCGCCAGTCGACGCGGGCGTAGTCGATGGCGGCGCCCGAGGCGAGAAAGGCGGCCGACTGGGCGGGGCTGTCGAGGCCGGCGGGCCGGCGCATGGCAGCCTTGAGGCCGTTCATGAAGAGGGCAAAGAGGAACGTGTTGACAGCGGCGCCGGCTGTCTGGTCGAGGAGCGTCTTGGTCAGCGTGTTGCGGATGTTGAGCTTGGGCTCGACGAGAGCCGAGCGGGCGGCTGCCTTGTCGAGAGCGGCGTCATCGGAGCGGGCGGCCTTCTCGATGGCGGCTGTCGTGGGCGCCGCGTGGTAGGCGGGAAAGGTTGACTCGAGAAAGTCTTGCCTGGAAAGAGACGTTGGTCAGAGGCGGTGCGAAGAATGCTTAGTAGGGGGAGTTGGGGAGGTTTTAGTTGGAGGATCAGCATTGGTCTGCGACCATGACGTACCAGAGGTAATTCGGCGGCGTGTTGACGATGGTCCAGATGATGAACTGCACGACGGGGACCCAGTCGACGACAAAGGGTTTCTGGAGGAGAGGAGGTCAGCCGTCGGGCAAGCAGCGAGCGGAACGGCCAGGGGCATCTCACATCATCGCGGAACGACGTCAGGGCCTGGGCCAGAAGATTGGACGTCGCCGACAGGACGACGCCCTGGAGCGTCACGCTGACTATCGGTGGCAGAGACATGTCGGCGGTGTGTTTCTGGGGAATAGCAGAGGCGAGCGGGAGACAGAGAGAGAGAGAGAGGCTCGTCCGAGGGACCCGAGCTGTCGATTGTGTGGAGGATTGGCCTTTATATGTGAACACCGATCAATGACGGATCAATCAGCCGTGATCCCGGCGTCGCAATGAGGACCCGGTTCGGGGTGCAGGTGTGATGTTGGTGGAGGTGGAGAGAGAGCTCAGTCGCCAAAAGGAGCTAAAAATGCGGCGTCTTTCTCTGGCGGTTGGTTTGCTCAACAGGGACAAGAAGTTGTCTAAAAAAAATTGTACGGAACCAAAATCAAAAAGGAACAGGCCTCTACGGCATATATACAGGGAGCAAAAGGAGACAGCTTTCGAGAGTAGTGGGATGCGTTGGTCAACAGCTGACGGGATGTAGGACCGCCATTTGGGACAAAGTGGAGGGTCGACGTGGGGTTCGCCAGCAGCCACGACCCTGCCTGCGAGCGCCCAGCGGCATCTGCCCGCGGACGGCCTGTGGAGGCGGCTGTACTGAGCAGCGCGGCAACCACTACAAGCACTATAAGCGACTGCCAATGTGGGGGAGCGACTCGACCCGTTTAAACCTGTCCGGGACTAGCTATTGACGACACCGTGTGGACGCGGAGGGGGACGCAGAGGGGTCATTGATCTTTGCCGAAGATTCACCGCCATCAGTTTTCCGCCTTTCCGCCAAGGACCAAGGACAGAACCAAGGACAGGACCAAGGACCACGCACAGGTCAGCCGCAGCATGTCACGCTTCGGGGATCACACGCCTGGCGTGAAAAGACAAGCCCTCTTCTGTTTTTGACATGCATCTAATCGCTTGACGCCCAGTCATGAAACTCGTCGCTTGTTGCCACGCCCATGCGAGGCATCTCCCGCGACACCTGTGATCATCCTGCTCCCGTGCCTAACTCCAGAGCCTGCGTCTCCCCCCCGGTTTTCCCCCTTTGAATTTTGCGTGCCTGCCAGCCAGTCCCTTTGGATTGACGTAAATTGATATGTCGTGCTCGTATGGTGCACCTTGGCGCTCGCGACGGCTCCCATCGCCTCTGCCAAGGGTGCTGTCCCATACGTTGACCGTTTGTGTGTGTTGCTTTCGCGCCGAGGATGATCTCACCCCAGTTCAAGGTCGGGTCAGAACCCACATGCCCAGCAACTGCGCGCCATACGAGTAGCCAAACAGAAACTGCGTCCGCTGGTTGCGCTTCGCCCGCGAGTCTGTCTGCATCTGCATGCCGCCGCCCTGAATGTTGTTCTCTGGAAGGAGGACGTACTTCAGCGACCGCATCTATCCCAGTGTCAGCCTTGGGAATCTAGTTTCGCCTTACGCAAGCCAAAAGAAAAAAGGGGGGACCAAGTGAGAAAAGGGGGCCATACCAAAAAGAACGAGTTGGCGAGGAACGTGTAGAGGAAGACGGTCCAGCCCACCCAGCCACCGGTACCCTTGCCGCCGTTGACAATCTCGCTGACCGTCACCGTCACGATGATGCCGATGAACTTGTAGCCCGAGTACGCAATGAGGTCGTACAGCTGCGAGTCGTTGGATATGCCAATGAGGTAGCATCCCAGCTTGAGGATGGCAATCTCGACAACGACGACGACGAGACCCCACGACGCCGTGATGCCGAGGAGCTCGGGCTGGAACTGGCCGCGGAGACCGGCGATGAGGGTCGACAGCAGAATATACGTCACGAGAGCCATGACGGGGATGTACATGTCGGGGCTGTTGACGTCGTCGCGCGGCGGCAGGTAGAAGCCGTCCTGGCCGTTGGGCCCCGTCGCCTGTTTGCGCGACCAGGGCTTGTGCCGCCAGGGGAAGAGCACGAGGAAGATCTTGTTAATGACGTACGAGTTGGTGACGTTGAAGTAGTGCTTGAGCGCGTTGACGTTGACGTAGCGGTTGAACTGCGCAGAGAGAAAGAGAGCGTGTGTGTTAGCTGGGGGCGTGGCTCGCCATGCTGGGTGCAGCGACCGGACCGGTCAGGGGGAACCCACGTTCTGCTCCATGTACTCCTGGCCATGCTTGAAGGCCGTCTGGCCAAACTGTGCCGCGACCTGCGCCGTCGGGTCGTTCATGAACTGGCCGTATGCGCCAAAGACATTGCCGCTCGAGCCGCCTTGCTGCTGGTAAGGGCTGCCGCCGTAGCCTTGTTGCGAGCCCTGCTGCGATACCGGTGGAGGGGGGAGACCCGGAGCTGGGGGACTGTCGAGACGTGTTTCGGGGACGGGGTGGTGCCAAGGGGGGCGACTTCCCGTATTGTGGTCGCGCCGCTGCTGCATCGTGGGCAGGGAGACCAGAAGGGCGCCTCACAGCCAGACGGGTGCTTTTTTTTCTGGGTTGGGGTGCGTTGAAAGTAGTTTTCTTCGAAAAGAAAAGTCTCGGTGCGCGTGTGTGGATGAGTCTGCTTGGTGTGTTCGTGATGTTGAATGTGCGATGCACCTACAACTGGCAAGGTGTTTATTTCAGGGTTGAGCCTGCACAGCTCCAGGCTGCAGGTCGTCCGGGCTGCAGGTCGAGCCGAGCTCCCTGTTGGAGCTACCTGTGCCTGCGCACTGTATTTACAGCGTCATTTGGCCCGGGTCCCCACCGTGCGACGACGCTGCGCGGAACATTGTGCCACCGGTCCCCACTAGTGCGGGGATGCCGTGCGCCAACACGTCTCTGGAGCTTCCACGGCAGCCTGGAAGGGTCCAGATGGACATTCTCTTATCGCTATCGCCGGCCTCGCCCACTTCTGCGGACCTCATGCCACACACCTGGGGAGAAGGGGGGCACATTGGCATGGGGCCAGCAACACCTTGGGAACAGCTGGGTCGGAGATTCCAGACCTGTTGGCCTCCATAACTCCAACTCGTCTCTTCTCTGCGCCCTCACGTACTCACTCCCTCTCTTGCTCCCCTCTCCTAAACCTGTCTCTCCAAGCTCCCCCAGCATCCCGACCTCCTGCATACATCCTCACCTAATCCCACACCATGTTGGACGCATTCGAGATCATCACAACCTCTGGCGTTGTCCTCTGGTCAAGGTCATACACCCAAGTCAGCTCGTCCCTCATCAACAGCTTCATCTCCGACGTCTTCATCGAGGAAAAGGGTGCCAATGCCGCCACACGTGATGACCAGTCGGCAGCGACAAACCCTCCCTACAAGACCGACCAGCACACTCTCAAGTACACTTTTGTGAAGGAGCTGGGTGTCATCTTCGTGGTGCGCAACCCCAATCCCCCACCGTTACCCCTCCTCCTCCTCCTCCTCCTCCTCCTCCCGCCATGGCGCATCATCACCCCAGACTTCGGCGAGGCCCAACTAACACACACACTTCCGTGTTCCTACAGGCCGTCTACCGATCACTCCTGCACCTGTCGTGGATTGACAAGCTCGTCGACAACATCAAGACCCTTTTCGTCAACCTCTATGGCGAGCAGCTCAAGAAACCCGGCACGTCCATCGTCGACTGCGACAAGTTCGACAACTACTTTGACCAGCAGATCAAGGAGCTCGAGGGCACCACTGCAAAGGCCGACGTTCACGCGCGTGATCAAGGCCTTCTGCCACAGCAGGAAGAGGCTGCGTCCGGCAACTTTGGCGACGAGCCGCCTCTCCCGCCCGGCCTACACTACAGAGGTATGCTCAAGGCCCTGATCTCTGGTCAGATCGACGCCCCAAGGTGCAGTAATACTGACCCCCTATCCAGGCCGGGCCCTCCAGGGTGCAAACGAGGTCTCATCGGCCGCCTCGACCCCGGGCGCGACACCGACAGTGTCGCGCCCCTCGACCCCCGGCGGAAGCAACCTCGTCGTGGGCAAGGCCGGCCCCGGCGGCAAGATGTCGCGCGCGCGCGCAAGGTGCAAACGCTGCCAGCTCGGCGCCCGTGTCCTCTGGCGACGAGGCCTCGAGGCCGCGCCTGAAGACGAACAAGTCGGCCAAAAAGGGCAGAAAGTGGGACGACGACGGCATGGCGGACGAGGACGACGGCGTGCAGCTCGATTACTCCACCGCGGCCAAGGCGATCGCGAGCGACTCGGACGCCGAGCCGGCGACGGCGCGCTCCACGGCGGTCGAGCAAATCGAATCGTCCACGTGGGGCTCCACCACGTCCAAGGGACAATTCGTGCTCAAGGACTTGGACGACGAGGTACACAGCATCTTGGCCTCGGCGCAATCAAAGGCCAACGCCGAGAAGGCGACGGCTCCCGCCAACGGGCTTCTCGGGTCGAGCCTCAACACCATCACGGGCCTGTTTCGGAATGTGGTTGGCGGCAAGACGCTCACCCAGGACGACCTGAACAAGGCCATGAAGGGCATGGAGGAGCATCTCCTGAAGAAGAACGTGGCGCGAGAAGCCGCCGTCAGGCTGTGCGAGGGCGTCGAGAAGGAGCTACTCGGCGTCAAGACGGGCAACTTTGAGAGTAAGCACTGCTGCCCCTTGGCAGCGAGCCTGCCCCCTCGCTTGAGAGCAACATGCTGACAGAACGCAGGCATCAACACGAGGATTCAGTCGGCCATGGAAGCGTCGCTCACCAAGATGCTGACGCCCACCAGCTCCCTCGACCTCCTCCGCGAGATTGACGCCATCACGCGGCCCAGCGCCGTCTCGCTGCGCTCGGCGCGGCCCTACGTCATGTCCATCGTCGGCGTCAACGGCGTCGGCAAGTCGACCAACCTTTCCAAGATTTGCTTCTTCCTGCTGCAGAATAAGTACCGCGTCCTCATCGCGGCCGGCGACACGTTCCGCTCGGGTGCCGTCGAGCAGCTGGCCGTGCACGTCCGCAACCTCACGGAGCTCACGGCACGCGAGGGCGGCAAGGTCGAGCTCTACCAAAAGGGCTACGGCAAGGACGCCGCCCAGGTGGCCCGCGACGCCGTCGCCCACGCCGCGGCCGAGGGCTTCGACGTCGTCCTCATCGACACGGCTGGCCGCCGCCACAACGACCAGCGTCTCATGAGCTCGCTCGAAAAGTTTGCCAACTTTGCCAAGCCCGACAAGATCCTCATGGTCGGCGAGCCCTCGTTGGCACCGACTCGGTCGCCCAGGCCCGCAACTTCAACGCCCCCTTTTGGCGCCGCCCGCGGCCTCGACGGCTTCATCATCTCAAAGTGCGACACGGTCGGCACCATGGTCGGCACCCTCGTCTCTCTCGTCCACGCCACCAACGTCCCCGTCCTCTTTGTCGGCGTCGGCCAGCACTACTCGGACCTGCGCAACTTTAGCGTCAAGTGGGCCGTGGAGAAGCTGCTGAGCAGCTCCTAGTTAGTGCTTTGTTGATGCGATGCGGCCTTCTCCGTGCCGTCAGGGAGAGCATGAACCGTGTACCCGTGAAGCAGTCTGTGTGATTGCATGTTTCCTTCGTCTCTTTTTTTTTTTTTGGATGGGATTAATAATTGATACCCTCTTGGAACTACCACTCGTCGCGTCATGCTTGCAAATCAGTGCACGATCCAATGTGTAATGGTCTCGTCATGTAGTCCTGAAAACCAAAGTTGATTGCAAAAAATGGTGGAGAATTATTACTATATACTACAAGCCAGCCTACGTGGCCAGCGGCAGGGAAAACATTACA